TACCGTATCAAACAATGTGGCAGCATCACATCGCATTTATCTTTCTGTTTTAAAAACTGATTTTTCGTTATAAAATATTCAGTTTATTCGGATGGAAGCGTTTTCTTTAATTTATAGTTTGTACAACTGTACAATCTACTTTAACGAGCTCAGCTTTGTTTGGGAGTATATTTTATGCACGACAAATAAAAGGTGCACCCTCTGTCAGAACAAACAAAATTATTCATTCTTTTTTCTATCTAAAAAATTTCGACTAAAAATACAATGCGATAAAAAGAATCTCAAAATGAGCAACGATTTAATATTAAATTTATGAAACTCGTTGAATAACGTCCGCTTTTGCTCGTCAAAGCTGGACATTATTCAACTCGTTTCATAAACTCACTACTAAATCATTACCCATTTGAGATCCTCTATTTCGTTTGCATTAAGTGGCATAACAAAGATATCGCCATCTTACATAAAGTTCATATTTAAAGTATTTTCCAAAGTCTCATAGGGTATAAAATCGGGAAAAAATTTTATACGAGCATTAATATCTCCAGCAAGATTTTATTCTTCAAAGAAAATTTAATTCAATTTTCGTTAGGATCGTCATAAATTGGCCATCTCTCAAGTAAAATACATCTAAATATAGTACTATATATTTGATATTATTCTTTTACTTGGATGAAATATACAGGACAACATAGTCTAACATATCATTTCAGTGATTTTTATAATTTCGTTAATGTATATACTAGTAGTATATGGGGACGATTGGGGATAAATGGGACTTCTATATCGGAAAGAAGTGCTTTGCACTATAGGGTCAATGGGAATTTAACATGGGAATGTCACCTAGGGGTCAATAGGAATTGAACACTGCCAACATCATGGGGTCATGGGTTTATATAGGTAAAAATCTATAAATAGGGTGAAATTATATATATATATATATATATATATATATATATATATATATATATATATATATATATATATATATATATATATATATATATATATATATGTGTGTGTGTGTGTGTGTGTGTGTGTGTGTGTGTGTGTGTGTGTGTGGAAAAACAGATATACAGATATAAAGAAACAAACAAATACACATCCAAACAATGAAGATGGTGACACACAGAAAAGAGGATAGAGATGTTCCGAAGAAAGACTCACAGACAGAATAGAGACTCTAAAAATAAAGGTCAATTGTATGGTTGCAAAAGATTTATTCAAATATATACATTGGTCTAAGAACTATCCATTTAATACATACAAATTTGGACCTAGAACAAACGTATTTATAAGTTGTCTATTTCTTGGTTTTAGAAACTATTTTTAAAAATTAAAGTTTATGCCTTAAAAAACACCTGTTTACATTTCATAAAAGAATGACATTTTAATGTTTATTTTAAAGAAAAGACTAAAATAAAACCAGATACAAACTATCAAATAGGAAAAAATTCGTGCATCGTTCTTCAACCGTTTCACACATTTTTAAAATCTGATCAGCTACCACTTGTGTCCCAGCGTAGATGTTTCCCATCACGTACTCCCTTTCATTCGTATATCTGTTGAATCCATCTCGTTAGGTACACTTATCAGTAAGAAGCTCAGTCACTGTCTTCTTCCCATGGAGGTACAACGCATGCCATATGAATGGTCACTTTTATATCGATGATGTCAAATTTTGCTCTCATCCTCTCACGTCTTCAATAGCCCTCGCAAGTTTGGAAGAAGTTAATTCTGCATGTGTACTAGACCAGAGACATACATGAATTTTCAAACTGTCATGATACATATATAGGCTCAAACATCCTCTATATTTGACTTGGCACCGATTTTTGAGTGCCTCTAATAGTGAGTCACATTAGTAATGAAACTTGCTGCTTCTTCGGGTGGAACGTCAGACGCAAAATCTTTTAAATTTCACCGTGTAGATGTAAGTTGTCGTCCTAAATTTTCTCGAAGTCGCTGTCAGTCAGTCATTTGAATGCTAAATACTCCTGTAGGTCTATTGAATCCTTTTCTTTCTTGGACGCGCTTTGCTGTAAAAGGTATGGTGGTGAAAGAGGTCAATGAAGTTTGCTCTTTCTCTTTTTTCATCTGCATAGACTGAGTAATTTTTTCCGGTGTTTGTCCTCGCAATGAAGAGTCGTTCTTGGGAGTCGTCCCTTTTTAGACTGGGTGATATCAGCGTGTTCATAAGGTACATTCTTGTAGTCTAGAAGTCGCACAAGTTTGTTCCCTTTTTCATCGGCATAGACAGAAAAATCAGTTCCGATGTTTGTCCTCGCAATGAAGAGTCGTTCTTGGGAGTCATTCCTTTTTTATACTGGGTGATATCAGCGTGTCCATAAGGTACATTCTTTTAGTCTAGAAATCGCACTGGCTGTACATAGTTTTCCATGACGTTAGTAAATAAACCACTAAGATGTGGTACTGCGTTGGTGATGTTATCCTGAGGCATAGTGTCAAACTCTATTTTCTCATGGGAGTCTCTTGCTCGATACTTACTATTTGGTAGGATTCATCTTTCTAGCTTGGGATTTGTAGTCATAATGATGTAACTGCCTTTGATGTTTTCTCCTTTATATGATGTCCAATGTCGGCATGTCCGTACGGTAAAGTAAAGTGGTTGGGAAGTCGAACTCGCTTTTGGCACACAACTTGATATATTTTTTTCCAAAGGCCAACGGACAATTTGGTGTGTGGATAAACGGGCAACCTTGTGCGGCTTGTATGTGGTCAACTTGAAATTTTGATCTACACTAGATTGCAAGGCTTCTTTCAACAAGCCAAAGTTCACAGCTTGACTGGAGCGGTAATTTAAAGTCGATCCTTTGACTTAGCACACCGTGTGTATTTCTCGTTGGTCCCGGTATTTATAACCGTAATTGTTAGGACTGCCACTAGCAAAACGTGAGTCTTGTCGTCGGGGTGCTAGTCCGTCCAACCTCTTAAACGATCTCCTTCGATTTTAGGGTGAGGTTGACCAAGGCGATCGATGTAGATACACAGCACACGGTCTCCTAACTGGTGTGAGGCCTTGTACAATTTACAGAGAGCATGGGCTGTCATGTAGGCCGCGTTGATGACATTTCAAAATTTGTTGGCCTATACAATCTCAAATTCTATTTTGTAATTTACTAGGTTCAAGCCTTCACGAACGACATCCATGTTGTTGCATGTATTTAGTTTTGTCATGAATCATCTAGAAGTAACGGGAGGTTTCTGTCAAATACTTTGTGTTGGGTAAACACGGTCATTGTGCCATTTTTCCCACAAACAATTCAACATCACTTTGGCAAACGATCGTCGTCCTTCGTTTCCCTCTAAGTGGTTAAAAATGATGCCTTCCTAATCAAAGTACTTCTCTTTTATTTCTTTTGGTCTTCGGGAATTTGACAGCCAGGACGGATAGCCGCTGGCTTCTTGTTTCAGTTTCAAAAAAGCATCCAGGTAGTCCAGGAAAATGTTTTTTGAGTATCATCACCCTTGAGGTATTGTTCTGTCTTGGGAAAGTGGTAAATTTCGTACACTTCTAACAAGTGGTATTCCAGGTCCAGAGCTTTAAAGATCTTCTGCGATGACCCACGTTTCTGTCAATGCTCGTTCTTCCTGATTGTGATAACAGAGTTGATCTTGGTTGCATGTTTCGGCACAGGTGTGACACAAAGGAAACATAAATTTTCCTTGGCAAAATTAATGTAAAACGGGATGGAACAAGTCCGTGGGAGGCAAGACTTTTCACTTAATCAGTCCCTCGCAGTGTCGAATATTGTCAAGGTCAATGAGCTGGAGACCTGTGGTAAAATGAGGATATTTACACACGTAAGGATACAGCGAAAACACGTTAAAGTATTTGATTTATTCTCCTTTCTCCGCGTTAGCGTGGTACAGCAAACAGGTGGCATTCGTCCATGCTCCATACAAACTATCCTGAGTGTAGATAAGGTCTGCAAACTTGTAACTTTCCACGATGCGCTTAAATTCGGGATCGGTTTTCAAACGGTGGTTGTACTCGTGTTCCCACATTTTCACGACTTGGTATCCTTACTGTTCTAACTTCAAGCGCAGCTGACAAGTGTCTCGTACAAATCTTCCATGGAGCGTTGTAAAAGAAAAGTTTTTATGTGTAGCGTTGAGGATAGCAGATCGGACATCCGTGAAATAAGCATCTGTTAAGCTCGCACACGATCTAAGAGGTTTAAAGCTTCCACTATCCACAAAATAATTTCCAGTGGTCTTTTCTTCTCATCCGTTTATGGCATGTTGGATCCATTTGTCTATTAATTTCGCAGTCCTCATTATTAAATTTTCCTAGTATTAAAAGCAAACAGATTATGCGCCGTGATCGGAACAATTATTAGACCCTTACACATATTGATCCGTATGGGAGCTTCCCCGTTCCTCGTTATGGGCTTTGAAGTCTAGGAAGATGATGATGTTACTTTTCTTATTTTGATTAGTTGTTTGAGTTGGGGGTATTCTTAGAGTGTGTGTGGGTCATAAATGTCTTGGATCTTCAGACAAACCTAGAACCAATGCAACACGAATACAGGCAACCGACGAAATAAAACTTTGCAACAGAACCTAGCCTATGTCTCCAATTCACGCTTGTGATATTTTACAATAGTGAATTTTTTTCCTGTTGGAGTGATTATTTCAATGAGATGTTTTTTTGTTTTTTTTTTAATTTCGTAAGGAAAATATACCATACAAACGTAAGAGTCGTGATATTCTTAAAAGCTGAAATAAGTCTCTCTCTCTCTCTCTCTCTCTCTCTCTCTCTCTCTCTCTCTCTCTGGATGGATGGATGGAAATGGTATTGAATATGAGGTACAAACTTTTGCCAACACATTTTGAAAAGTATTGTCGCTTAGGCGTCTTGTTTCTCTTTAGAAAAGTGTCGTCATTCTATCTTGATCACAAACTTTAATTTGCCTAAGGTTTACACACTACTTGAACTCTTTACATTTTAGAGTGTAGGTGGAAACTTTCGTTTTCAATGTTCTGTTGGCATAGTGGTTAGAACGTCCGCCTCGGATGCGGGAGGTCGTGAGTTCGACTCCCAGCCGAGTCATACCAAAGACCAAAAGATGGTACTAACAGATGCCTCGCTTGGCTCTCAACATTAAGAAGTTAGTGTTAGGACTGGTTGGCCTGGTGTCAGGAAGATGTGACTGGGTGGAACACCATGCCACATGTCTACAGCATGATGTCCCAGTGCTAGACATCACTATAAACTGTCACACTGCAGATATCGTAGCGATATGTCTGAAAAATTCCTTAAAAGCTACGTTATAAATCTAAATAACACAAATCACACTAAATTTTCTGCAAGTACGTTTGTGCGTATCTCAAAAGTGACCATAAATTTGGGGGAGGGACTCTAATGGTTTTGTGACAGAAGTGGAGAACATTGATGCAGGCTCACATGTCACATTCGGAATCTCTTACATAGATTTGAGCAAACAGATCGACTTGAGTGTGAGGTGATGGATGATATAGATGGTAAGATGATTATTTGTTTGCAATGAAAGGGATAGTATAATTTGTGAGATTTTATCTCCTTCTCTTACATTTTAATCTAAAAAAGGGTGTCTGGATAGTGAGCATCATATAATGGATGGTATAGTTGATATAATGTATTGTGTGTGTGTGTGTGTGTGTGTGTGTGTGTGTGTGTGTGTGTGCGCGCGCGCGCTGTGTATATTGATCTTTGTTGTCCCTATAAATCTCCTTTCGTCCCTTTTAAATTCATTTCACCAACCTACCTAGAGAAGCACACATTTAGGTCTGCTTCTTGCAGTACTGTTACTCAGTAGCCGCCCGATTGAGGTCAGTCATTTGTAACATTGTTGACAATTTTCCTCGTTTGTTCAGTGCCGTGACGTCATTGATGCTAGAAATTTTGAGACTATAAATATAGACGTGTTTTCCATAGTAAATTCTACAGGTTGTAACTATAAATAAAAACTATGTGCTTTAAATATAAATGGCTCACAAGTTAAAGCTATAAATATAAACTGGGCTTTCAATAGAATTTTACAACTTTTTATGGCTAAAAGTAAATCCTAGATTTTTTTCCCAAGGAATTCCTACATGTAATGACTATACATAGATACTACGTTTTTTTTTTTTAAATGTACTTTCTTACAAGTTGTGACTATAAATAAACACTAGCGTTTTTCCAGATAGTATTTTTTATGGTATAAGAGATTTTTTTGTAAGATTTTATCTCATTTTCATAGACTTTGAGCTAACACAATATGTTTAAATAGTAAGTATGTATAATAGATGGTTTAGTTGGTGTAATGAATAGTATTTTGTGGTGTAAGGAATAGATATTTTGTGAGATTTCATCTCCTCTTACATTCCAAGATAACATATGGTATTTTGAATAGTGAGTATAATATGCTGGATGGTACAGCTGGTGTGATGGAAAGTATTTTTGTGGTTTAAGGGATAGTTTTTTGTGAGATTTCATCTCCTTCTCTGACACTCTAAGCTAGCACAAGACTTTTTTGAATATGTTTGGTCTTAGATGGTGTAGATGGTGTAATGGATAGTTTTTTATATTGGATTATATATATATATATATATATATATATATATATATATATATATATATATATATATAAGCAATAAACTGACGACGAACAGTACGAAACTAGTCACTAACTAGCCTAAGCGCTTTCGACTCTTAATGAGTCTTTTTCAAAGGCAAATACAACACATAGTTACGACAAACAAATAAACACAAAAACGTTGTGTTTGTAAACCTCTACATTTCTGTCTTCACATGTGCTAAAACTATAAATACAACCAGCTTGTATAGACTAGTTGCGGAAACTGAAAACGTTGTATAATTCCCTAAAAGTCTACAAGCCAAAGCGACATCTATTTTTACTTTGTGTACATATGTAACGCAGATTATATCCCGGATATTTGATTCTATACCGGTTATTCTTATAGTAAAATTTGAAGGATAATAAGAAGATTTAGAAAATGTTAAATTCTACTAGTGCATAGTTTTCATTTTCTAGTCTTCTTGGTTTAGACCGCTTGGTTTCAATGTTCTAAGGCGGCGTATCCAGTATGATTCCTTTTCCTTCCTGGTTTCGGAACTCCAGCTGTGGTTGTTAGCAATAGCGATAAGTATTATATCACTGAAAGTGTGGCCAGGGGAGGAGAAGTGTTCTGCGACCGGGCTTCTGTACAGCTTTTTTGTCATCCAATCAGATCTATGAAGGTTTATCCTTTTGTGTAGCTTTTCAGTTTCTCCGACGTACTGAAGGCCACAGATCTTACATGTGATGAGATAAATCACATTCTCTGTTTTGCACGTTTTGTTTGGACCATGTATGTTTAGTTTTTCTTTAGTCTTTGTGCTAGTGAATGTCTTGGTCTCTATCATATGTTGACAGGTTTTGCATCTTTTATCGCCACAGGGTCCAGATTGACTAGGTTGGTTTTGACTAGCGATTGGCGTTAGCTTGGCCCTGACCAGGATGTCCTTTAGGATTTTTGGTCTCCGGTAAGCTACTACAGGTTTGTTCGGAAGTATTAGGTTTAGTATGTCTGACGATTGCACGGTTGGCCAGTGGTTTGCGATGATTTTACCTACTTTGGGATTGTCTGGGTGATAGGTCAGAATAAATGGTATCCTATCAACCTTTTCTTTCTGTCCATATCTGAGAAGGTCATCACGGTTTGTTTGTTTGGCCCTTTGGATTGCCTCCGCAATCAGGTCTTTTTTGTCGTAGCCTCGGTAAATTAAATGTTTAGCCAGCTAGGATACCATTTATTCTGACCTATCACCCATATATATATGTTTTGTTTGCTGTCATCATCTCTTTTATTCTAAGCTAACACAATGTGTTGTGTGTAAGGGGTGTGAGATGGTATAGGTGATATTTTGAATATATATTTGTGAAATTTCATCTTTTTATTTTGCATTCTAAGCTAACTTATGGCGCTTTAGACAGGAGTGCATAATGGGATGTGAGAGTATTTCTGTAGGATTACATCTCATTCTCTTAAACTCTAAGCTAAAATGGCCACTTGTGATAAGGTGTGTTTGGGATGTTGAATAGCATTGGGATGTTGGATATAGTGGTGTGATATATAGAGTTTTGTGTGGTGTATGGAATAGTCTATTTTGTAAGTTTTATCCCATTCTCTTACATTCTAAGCGAACACGTGGCAATTTGGATAGTGCGTATGATATGCTGGATAGTATAGTGGTGTGATGGCTAGGTATGTGTGGTGTGATATTCATTTTTGTAAGATTTCATCTTTTTCGTTTACATTCTAAGCTAACACAAAAATCTCTTGGGGTAGTCTGTTTTTGGGGTGTTAAATGGTATAGATGATGTAATGGATAGTATTTTATGTGGTGTAGGGGATAGTGTATGTGAGTGAATTTGTTGGTCTTTGTTGCTCATTATTAAACTCCATTTGTCCCTATCAAATTCATTTCACCTAAATACCTACCTACGCATATTCCACTTGCAAAAATATTGTCATTATTCCCCTAGTGTCAAGTACAGTGATGTCTATGAAGCGAGACATAGTTTGACTATAAATATAAACGTATAGTTTTCCATATGAATTTGCACAGGTTTTATTTGTGTATATATATATATATATATATATATATATATATATATATATATATATATATATATATATATATATATATATATATATATATATATATATATACAGAGAGAGAGAGAGTTTTCAAACAGGATCGTCACACAATTTAAGGCTATAAATATATACTGTTTTTTCAATAAGATTTTCTACAATTTGTACCTAAAAATAGATGGAAGGATGAGAAAAAGAAAAAGAAGAAAAAATATCTTGGAGAAGATAAGGTGCAGGTGGAGAAGAAAAATGTAGAAGAGAAAGTAGAAGAAAGCTAAACGGTCTTTTTCAGGGACACTCATAAGTCTCGAAAATATGTCTATTCTCTGTTTGTATGTCGTCGTGAAAATATTGTTAGTTTTAGTAGGCATATCTGGAAACAAGTGCTCATATTCAGACAATAATTGCTTAAGTTCACTTTTTTCTTGATTTTGTAAATTAGTAAGTTTCTGGTCTAGATTTTCCATAACTTCTGAATTCTAAAGACTAGTTTTTCCAAGATCAGTAGAATCCAACTGAATTCCTTCATTCAAATCCTCAGTTGGTGGGATATGTACAACTACATTAACTGCAATACTTTACCCGGATATTTCTTTCAACATACTACTTTAACATATTGATGTGACACAGTGGTTTGGGGTTTTGTCTCTCAGGAGTATTTATATTGCAATTTAAATATCTTATTTCCTATTCATCCGAGTACGGAACATAAGATTTTGCCTGAAGACGATTTTGTGGAGTGGGCAAGAGAGCCAGGACTCTATCACCAGATTGAAAACTCCTATCCCTTGAGTTTTTATCAAATCTTAATTTCATCTTGGATTCAGTAGAATACAAATTTGCTCTTGCGACCTCACAAGCCTTTAACAATTTATACTTAAAATCAGAGACATAATGAAGAAGATAAAGTTATGTTTCTTCATTTCAAAGAAGTTTCGCTTTCGAAAACTCTAAGTGTCGAAACACAGTATGTCCAAATACCCGTTTAAAGGGACTGAACCCTAGAGATTCCTGATCGGACTTTCTAACTGCAAACAAAAGTAAAAAAAATGCCTTCATCTCTGTCTTTATCTGCGTCAAAACAATACGACTTGATCATATTTTTCAGAGTTTGATGTAATCCTTCCAAAGCCCCTTGGCTCTCAGGATGATAGGCAGATGATTTGGACTGTTGAATGCCCAATTCATGCATTGCTTGCTAGAAAATTCCAGACATGAAATTTGACCGTTGATTTGATTGGACAAATTTGGGAAGGCCAAATTGAGTAAAGAACTTTACAAAGCCTTTACTATATGTTTAGTTTTGATATTCCTCAAATGAATTGCCTCATGGAATCTTGTTAAAGCACACATTATGGTCAACAAATATTAGTTCCCTGACTTGGCTTTTGATAACGGATCAACATAATTTACCATAACTCTACTGAAT